TTAACAATTATCTTCCTGGGGACCTTATAAAATATATATAGTTCTTTCTTGGGTTCTTGAGTATCTCCAACATATTTTATCCCTCGGATTTTCAAAGACAGCATTTACGTTATTTTTATTACGCTTAACATATGTAATGTAGTGATAGCCCCATCAGTACAAGGCAACTGTTTGATCCTCCACTGAATATTCCCACACAAATGAGCTCTGTGAGATGCCCCTTCACACCCCTCCCCCCACACCTCTCCCTGCTGTGAGGCTGAGGGCTGTTATGCCTTTTCCTGCTTTCACATTCCTTTCCTTGAATAACTCTCCCCACTCTTTCTAATTTGACGCTTCTCATTTGTGGCAGGCCAAGTTGTGTTTAAATAGCAATACGCCTCTGGAACTATGAAACTTTGGGGCTTCAGTTTACAAATAACATCTATTCGAATGGCTCTGAACCCTTTTGTTTCTTTTCTCTGTAGCTGTGTTACAGATTTATGAGACTACTAAAAATCTCAGTCTTGGGTATATATATTTTAACCATGATTAGGATTCAAATCCCATGACTTTTGAGAGTTACTGTGTTAGTTTCCTACTGCTGCTGTAACAAAAAACCATAAACTAACACAGGTTTATTATCTTATAGTTTAGAAGTCTAAAAAGGATCTCACTGAGCTAAAATCAAGATGTCAGCATTCCTTTAAGAGGCTCTAGAGGAAAATATGTTTCCTTGCCTTTTCCAGCTTCTAGAGGCTGACTGCATTCCTTGGCTCATGGCCTCGCCTCTATTTTCAAAGTCAACTGCATGAATATTCAAACTTCTCTCTCCTCTCCTCTCCTCTCAACAATATTATTTTTTCCTCATACTAGAAAAACTGGGGAAACATCTTGAATCAGAGGCTTCCTTGCTATTGGTGACTGACCCAGTAAGACCTCTATAAAGGGGAGAATAATAATTTATTGGGTTCATACTTTTTGCTAGACACTGTGCTAAGTGTGGATACATATTGTCCCAGTTATTTCTTATATCCACTCTACGAAGTTTGTACTATTATTAGACCCCCTTTACATGTAATGAAAACAAAGATTTCAGCAAAGGAGTTGACCAAATTCAAATAACCAGGAAGATTCATTTTACAGATCCTGTACTATTTCTTAATCTTCCAAAAGACTGACTATTCCAGTGTTTGGTCTCCAAATCTCTTTATGCTCACTCCTTAGGTGATGGCACCCATTTCAATAGCTTTAAAAACTACTTATACAGTAAACATGCTTAAACTTAAATCTCCATCCTGGATCTCTTCAGAGAACTCCAGACTCATATATACAACCACCTATTCATTACCTCAATTTTGAGTTCTATTAGATATCTCCAACTTCTAAAACCAAATTCTATTTTTCATCCTCACCAATATGCTCCTCACTCCTCTAGTGATTTTCATTTTAGAAAATGTCACCATCATTCAGTAGTTACCTTTTACACCCCTCCAAACTATCTATCATTAAATCCTATCCTCTTTATTTGCATAACATATGCAGGTAAAGCAGCTAAGTACTTTTCACCACCTGAGTCTAAACGGGGGTGTCCAGTGGAAATATAATGTGAGCCCATGTATCATTTAAAATGTTCCAGTAGTCACATTAAGCAAACAAAAACCTGTCGAATACATAATTTAATAATGACTTTTATTAGCATATTTAATAACATTTTATTTGAGCAATTATTTTAGTAAAATATTGTCACTTAAACATGTGAGCAATACAATATAAATAATAGTGATATTTTACAATCTTCATTTCCTACGAAGCTTTTAAAATATGATGCATACGACACGCTTACAGCACATTGCAATTTGAATGAACCACATTCCAAGGGCTCGGTAACCATATTTGGCCAGTGGCTTCTGTGTTGGACAGTGCAGATCCAAGATAATCTCTCTAGAATACTACAATAACCTCCTAACTAATCTGCTGTTATTCTCCCGAGTCTAAGATCCAAATAATAGCTTAATTTATCCTTTTAAAGTGTATGTCAGATCATGCCACTGTCTTGTCCAAAATATCTTCAAATCTTCCTATTACCAACAAAGCAAAATTTCAAAGTCTTCTATAATCTGGTCCCTGGGCACCTCCTTGATACAGTTTTCTATCACTCTGCTGTCTCCCATGTGCTCCATCCAGTATACTGGTTCTAGCAGATAGAGTGGATGCTCCACTCAGACCCCCTTGGATCCTTCTGTCAGTTCTCTGTGCTCATCCTCCCATCTCTAGGAGCCATACCCTCTAAAGGCTGACCCCTGTGACCTTCTTTAAAGCATTGCACTTTGGTGCCTTAAACTAGCTCTCTTGCCTCTCCTGGCAGAGTCTAGGGGAGTTTACTTCCTGCC